GTAGGTATGCGATGAATGTTTTCATATTTTCCTAATTTCTCCCAAAATAGATCTGAAATTGCCCAATACCTCTTTGCTATTTGGTTTGGGGCTTGGGGTACCAGAGCCAAGCCAGGGGCTAGGAAGTTCTCCGGAGTCTTTCGGGTTAGCAGTGAGCGGCCACTGAGGACCCGCACTTCCCACCGCAGCCCCCGAGCGCACAGAGCCCTGGGGGGGGGTGTCGGGCGGGAGCCAGGGGTGCGGGCTCCGGGGACCGGTGTCAGAGCAGCGGGAACAGCGGAAAGGCAGCGAGATCAAAACAATCGCGGTGTGTGGGAACACGGGGACCTGGTCACCCCGTCCCCGCCGGAGGGAGCCGCCCTCATCCTCTTCAGGGGCGTGGCTCTCCCCGGGGGCCGCTCCCGGCCGCGGATTTCCTCCCGGGCTGCCCTTCACGGGGTTTGCACGTGCGAGCATCGCCCGTTTGCCAGCGCGCGTGCGTGCCTGCGTGTGCCTGTCAGTGTGTGTGCATGTGTGCGTGTGTGCGCGCGTGCGTGTGCCTGCCAGTGTGTGCACGTGTGCGCGTGTGCCTGCCCGTGTGTGCGTGTGTGCGTGTGTGCCTGCCCGTGTGTGCGTGTGTGCGCGCGTGCGTGTTCCTGCCCGTGTGTGCGTGCGTGTGCGTGTGTGCATGTGTGTGCGCATATCTACTAGTGTGTGCATGTGTGCCCGCGTGTGCGTGCGTGCGTGCGTGTGTGCGCCTGCCCGTGTGTGGGCGTGTGGGCGCGTGTTTGCACACGCCCGGAGGCGCGCTTACGCAAGCCCAAGTTCTCTCTGCCTCGGTCCGCTAGGCCCCGCAGGGCGCCTTCTCCTGACCCCAGCGGGTCTGCGGCGCTCGTCTCTGCGCTGCCGGCTCCGTATCAGTTGCCGGCTACACCCACTTTTTAATCACTCGCGCCCTCGGTCCTGGCTCCGCCATGCGCGGCTCCCTTCCCACCCGCTGGAAATGTCGCTGGAAACTCTGAGTGGCGCTCGCCCCCC